AAAAAAAAGAAAAAGAAATAACAGAGCTATACTCCAAAAACAGGTGAATACCTGGTAGTCTGCCTGAAAAATTTCGAACAATAATGAAAGACACATGGCTAGATTACATTTACTATAAATATATTCAGAAAACCACTGTGAAGCTAATATTGGAATTGCTATTCTATATTAAAAATCATATTTAAACTTCTAATTAGCAAATTCAAATATGCCTGTAAATATTCATCATAAATTAAAGATAAGCAAATGGACTTCCTCTTTTCTAAAAATAACATTGTCTGCCTTTGAACACACCTGGCACTTCCAGCTCCTAAGCTTTTCCAGGGTTCTGAGGCAGGAACTGGCTTTTTTCTAGAGTCTCCAACCCCGAAGGCATTTAGCTTTCAGTTTCCACTGATCAGTTAAGTTCAACTTGCAAAATGTTATTCACGTTGTATTCCCCTTCCCTCCTCTTAAACCAAGTAATGAGTACATGGCTTTTTGTAAGTCCCTTACTGATTTTATTGGGGTTTCAGGAGAAAGCAAAAATAAAAAGTATGTTGAATTCACTATGCTTGAGAGCAAGCCCCGCAAAATAAATAATTTTTTGAAATAAATTTATATGGAACTCTTTTATGCCAAGGAAATGTAGTTAAGCAAGCCTTTTCTCCAGACTTGACAAGTCCCTAGCCAGCCGTGGGCAAACTACGGCCCGCGGGCCGGATCCGGCCAGTTTGAAATGAATAAAACTAAAAAAAAAAAAAAAGACCGTCCCCTTTTATGTAATGATGTTTACTTTGAATTTATGTTAGTTCACACAAACACTCCATCCATGCTTTTGTTCCGGCCCTCCGGTCCAGTTTAAGAACCCATTGTGGCCCTCGAGTCAAAAAGTTTGCCCACCCCTGCTAATCTCTCTTCTTTCCACAAAGCTGTGCTAACAGGTAACTACGCTTCTCAGGCCCACATGCCCTGCTCTCCCAGCTCTCAGCAAATGGCCTGCCCGTCGTCCCCTCAGAAGCTCTCGCAATGCAAACCTGTGCTCTCCCTGCGCTACTGACCCCACTGGCCTCCTCTCTGGACCTTCCTTTCACCTGATCTCCTCCCTGCCCTTTTTTTTGGCTTCTATGTTCAGTCTCTCAGTTGAGAATAGTTGTTTATTCTCAACTTTGCTCAACTGTTTGCAGATGGTTCTCTACTTCTGTCATTTCACCCTTCAAACAACCTGTACTACTGTATATTATCTATCCCTAAACAGTCCTTCACACACCTACTTCAGATATTCACTGATAAATGGATGTTTTCAGCTACTGCATAGTAAGGTTCCATATTTTCCAACTCAACAGTATCTGTGCAATCATTTAACTGCATCACACTTTCATAAACTGTAAAAAGACATTGGCAAAAAATATAAAGACTTTATTATGTGATAAGAAGTCTCAAACTAACAACATGTAAGGCTAAGATGAAAATAATCACATATGTCAAAAACAGCAGGCCTTCAACCTTAAAAAGATATTTACTGGACTTAACTGGTGGGCCAACAGAAAACTCAACTGTAATTAAAAAGAACAAAATTAAAAGAGCATGCATACTAGTAAAAGTCTGAATTGCTAACTGTCTAAGAGAAGAAAGTCTGTCAGCACAGACAGAATCACCAATCATCAGACCTCACAGACGGCTCTTTCAATGACACAACCATTTTGACAATGTGGCCATAGCTGGAAAAGTGTCATTTTTACACTGTGTCTACCTTAGGCCACCCAGACTGTGGCCTAAGGTAGACACATGCTTCTCCAACTTGAAGATGAGCAAGGAGTGCAAATACAGAGAGGGTACTCCAGGAAGGCATTTGGCCCCAAAACAAACACAGTGTATCTCTCAAATGCATCAATTTACTTAATGTTACGTAATGAAAAATAATTTTATATTAGAGGCCCGAATTCGTGCACTGGTGGGGTCCCTTGGCCTGGCCAGCGATCAGGGCCAATCAGGGCAAGGGACTGCGGGAAGTTAGCAGGCTGCAGGAGGTTGCTGTGGGAGTGCACTGACCACCTGCTTTGAGCATCTGCCCCCTGGTGGTCAGTGCGTGTCATAGTGACCAGTCGTTCAGTCAACCGTTTGTAACAGTCGCTTAGGCTTTTATATATATAGACTAGAGGCCAGGTGCACAAAATTCGTGCATGGGTAGGGTCCCTAGGCCTGGCCGGTGATTGGGGCTGATCTGTGGGGTGACCAGCAGGGAGATCAAGGGCCCCCCACTGACACCTGCCTTGGCTGGCCTGGCACCACCTGCTCGCCGTCCTGCCCCCCACTGCCACCACTGGTCACCTCCCTCTGAGGGGCAACTGGCGGGGCGAACAGGGGCCCCCGCTGGCACCCTGCCTTGTGGGCTGGGGGCAGCTCCTGCATTGAGTGCCGGCCCTCTGGTTGGTGGTCAGTGTGCATCATAGCAACTGGTCGTTCTGCCATTCGGTTGATTTGCAAATTAGGCTTTTATTATATAGGATAAGTGATATTGTGGTAAAATAAAAGTATAAAATATACACAATTTTATGACATAATGCAAACAAGTGTTAAGGTTATAGGTGCTGGTTGGACTATCTTCTTAGGCCCTCTGGGGATAAACATTCACTCCACTCTTACTGCTAACACTTCCTGCAAAGGTTTGCAGCTCCCAAAGAGAACTATGTTTAGGCACTGTTGGTCCCACAAAGACAATGCCTAGCGTTAACAATACTAACAAAGCTAGCAAGCCACAATTCAATTAAAAGCTCTAATTTTTTAAACATTCAAATTGTCCCCTCGGGTGGTCGTTCAACTGGGAGTTTGACCGCTAGCTATGACATGCGCAGACCACCAGGAGGCGGCACAGAACATGGCGGGCGCTGGCAATGCAGCGCTGGCAGCAGGCAGCAGTGGAGGTGTTGCTGGCCCCAATGGGACCGGATGAGAGCAGGACCACAGCGGGATGGTGGAGCAGGTGAATGGGTGACTCCAGGCCAAGGCAGGATGCCAGGCGGGGCTACAGGGCTGTGAGACTGGGGGTGCGAGCTGAGGCTGCAAGGTTGAGGGCGCAAGCTGGGCCCAATCTCCGCAGGCCACCCCGAGGGACCCCACCCATGCAGGAATTCGTGCACCGGGCCTCTAGTAGTATATAGTTAACAAACTTGAAAGGCTGATTATCAAAGTAGGAAATTAAACGTATTCATGTCTTAAAACTCAAAATCAATGTAAAAGCTCTAGGTAAGCAAGAACACCTAATGCAGGCAACAGTGTGTTTTTAAAAATAAACCCCAGAAATGCAAGACCAACACTGCCATGGGCCTCAGAAAGAGAGGAGATAGCATGAAGGTTAGATGCAAAACACTGCATTCCCCATATTTCATTTGTTAACAATGCCATTCTCCCCTTTTACTTTCCAGGTTGTTACTTTTAATGCTAAGGAAGGAAATGCAAGCAGCTGATCTTAAAAACTACAGGCAAAAAAAGAAACCTGTCAGCAATATCAAGAGAAAATAGTAACCTTTTCCTGTATCTGCAGAAAAAGATGACATACATCAGCATCATAAAACTGTCCTTGAAAATGTTATTTCGGATCAAATAATCCCAAAGACATCCAGACTCAGAGACTGTTGTTATATCTATGAAAGTAACCTTTAATACTTACAAAATCTTCTGATTGGTTGTCTCAATAATGCATTGCCCTAGTAATAGTACTTAAACTGACATCTGTTTTCTGAAGAAAAACCTGTGATTTTTATTTTTATGTTTCATATCCATGAGATCAAAATAAATAAAAGCCTCAATCTTACTGGCTGCCTTATTCAAAAAAAAGGAAAAAAAAACAATGAGAGTCTTGGTTCTTTTAAATTAATATAGGGGAAAAAAGAGTGACAGTGTCAGGTTATTTAAAAATAAAAATTATGAGAGGAACAATGGAATTTTCAAAATTTTAATTTTATTCCTCAAATTTTGTGCTTATATGTTGCTACACATGTGATACTTACTGTAACTGCCAGATTTTTCTTCATAAGTAAAATGAAGTTGTAATTCCTCTTCTGACATCTCACAGATGAACACTTTCAGCAAATGGCAAATAATAAACAAAGCATTGTTTGTCTGCCAAATGAAGATGTGACTAGAAAAGAGAGACCAAGGTCACATAAGAATCAATATTTAATCATGAGCACAATCAGTTTATTTCTAGTCAATGATTTCTTCATGATTGATCCATCGTTTTGCCCACTGTATTTGTAATATTAGAATCATGTCCATATCTTTTAATGGCTCATGATTTATGACACTGAAGCAATGAAATCTATTACAGTTTACTTCATAGTTCATTCTATATATTTTACATAGTAAGTGAACATAATAAAAATATTATCCTTTAGGCATGACTGCTCTTTTTTTAAAATATATTTTTATTGATTTCAGAAAGGAAGGGAGAGGGAGAGAGAGACAGAAACATCAATGATGAGAGAGAATCATTGACTGGCTGCCTCCTGCACACCCCAAACTGAGGACCAAGCCCGCAACCCAGGCATGTGACCTTGACCAGAATCGAACCTGGGACCTTCAGTCCACAGTCCAACGCTCTATCCACTGAGCCAAACCAGCTAGGGCATGACTGCTCTTTGTTTTTAACTTTATAGCTGTCCCACACACAGACAATGCAAAGAAAAGAAAGCTAAGATAATTAAAAATACATAGTACCATAAGGAAAATATATGCAAATACACAACCAAATTTTTAAATGGAGTATCACCAGTAATCAGAGAACAATATTTGCTGTTTGTATTAATAACTGTGAACTCACAAGAAAACCTTTTGCTAGATTCAATATTATTTGCTTGGGAGCTGGGCAATGAACAATCTTTTACGAGCTAACCAGATGCCCTGGCCTGTTTGCCTCAGAGCATCGGCCTACGAACTGAAGCGTCCTGGGTTTAATTCCAGTCAAGGGCACGTGTCTGGGTTGTGGGCTCGATTCCCAGTGGGGGACTTGCAGGAGGCAGCCAATCAATGATTCTCTCTCATCATTGATGTTTCTATCTCTCCCTCCCTCTTCCTTCCTTTGTGTAATCAATTTAAATATGTGTGTGTGTGTGTGTGTGTAAATAAAAAGAGCTAACCAGAAAAAAATTGTGTTAAAAAATGCTTGAGCCCTAACCGGTTTGGCTCAGTGGATAGAGCGTCGGCCTGCGGACTGAAAGGTCCCAGGTTCGATTCCGGCCAAGGGCATGTACCTTGGTTGCGGGCACATCCCCAGTAGGAGGTGTGCAGGAGGCAGCTGATCGATGTTTCTCTCCCATCGATGTTTCTAACTCTCTATCCCTCTCCCTTCCTCTCTGTAAAAAATCAATAAAATATATTTAAAAAATGCTTGAGCACATAAAAGGTTAGCTTCCCATTGCATCTGATATAGAACTATAATACCTAATCTGAATCTTCTTTCATCTAATGAGAGAAATTAAGGAAACAGATGTGGAATGAAATAATACTCAAATTAAGTCGTATGTCCAGCAGTAATAATGGGGAATAATGCCCTTTTTAGTAATAATCACATCACTATTAATCTACTTAAATAATATATTTTTAAAGATTATCTAAAATGCTGAAAGCAGATTCCAGAATGTATCATCTCCCCCCAGTGCCTTGGACAGCAAATTAAAACCTCTCTTGTATTTTTTTCCTTTAATAGTAAGTACAATTCCTTTAATAGCTTTTAAAAGACCATAATCAATTTCTAATAGATGAAAAATACTCCTTGTTAAACATGAAAAGAACATTACTAATCAGCCAGCTTACTTCCGACATTCTGCTGAAAGTTTTAGTTCTTTGGTTCTAGAAAGGAAGACCTTAATCAATGCACCAAGGTTTCCTGTTCGAGGATTGTTTTCAACTGCAAGAGAAAGAAAGATTTTAAAAAGTTAAAATTAAGAACTAAAAGCAAAGTGAGTGTATCATAACACTTATAAAATCAAATGTCAAACTGAAGTTGCTCATGGACCAATCTATTGTCAATAAGGAATGAAAGAAATTGCTGCTTGGTTGTAATTCTTTCTGAACAAAAAGTGGTGTACAAAATGGAAGTGCTAGAAACAGCAGGAGAAAATAGCCATCTTATCTGAGAATCCAAAATTGTAAAGAAAACATGTAAGTTAATCTGCATACACAATTTACATATACACATCATTCTCTTTAGAAAAACAGATGCTTAAAAAGCTCAAAAACTGATCATCCAGAACCAAGATGGCGGCATAGGTTAACGCCGGAGTTTGCCGCCTCGAACAACCATTTCAAAAGTGAAACTAAAAGACGGAAGGGACATCACCCAGACCCACAGGAACGCTGGCTGAGTGGAAGTCCTACAACTAGGAGGAAAGAGT